TAGACATTACTTGCTGACTGGCTGATGGACTCCACCATAGAGTGGACATGATTGGAGATGCTCTTTAGAGATACTCCCTCAGATATCTCCAGAAACTGGGCACACAGCTCTGTGACGAAGACCTGAGTGTGCTGCAGAGTGCTGAGGGACGGGTGAGCATGGATCCATTCATCAAACAGAAGCTGGTCCAGGACGGACAGGATCTTCCCCAGCTGATCAGCTGTCAGCTGAGTGAGACTGAGATCTGAAACTGGGACACTGCATTTCAAAGAGAGGATTTCTAGAAGCTCATCACTGCCTGATTCATAGTTAGGCTCAAACTCATTCAGATGGCTGATTAGAACATCTCGCTTCGATTCAAATTCTTCTGAAATGTGGCTGTTCAGTTGTTTCTCATGCTGCTCTTTAGCTTGTTGGTGTGATTCTTGTAGTCTTTGATTCAGTTCTTCTTCTCTCCTCTTCTCTTCAGCTTCTTTTGCCCTTTGCTCTTCTCTTCTCTTTTCCTCTTCTCTCCTCCTTTCCTCTTCTCTTCTTCTTTCCTCTTCTCTTCTTCTTTCCTCTTCTCTCCTCCTTTCCTCTTCTCTCCTCCTTTCCTCTTCTCTCCTCCTTTCCTCTTCTCTCCTCCTTTCCTCTTCCCTTCTCCTTTCCTCTTCTCTCCTCCTCTCCTCTTGATCCCTGATTGGCTTATTAAAGCAATATTCACACTCGTACAAATTATTGTTACCAACTGGTCGGTAGTATTCACCTCCATTGAATACATGTACAGTCCGCCCATGAATAGTTTGTTGGCATATATTATCGAATGAGTGACATGGAGGCAGGACCTTATAACATATGTGGCATCTCAGGCTGTCGCCCATGTTATGTTCTGACGGTTGGTTCCCCATTTTTGATGATTTATTCAGCAGTTCTGTGGTGATTTTTGTGTGTTTCCTGAAGGATAGAAAACATAAATGTAACAGGAAGTCCTGCTGCTTTGATTATTTGTGAAAATAGTATCGTATATAATTTAAGCCAAAAATGGTTTCATTCGAATCTAAATATAGATATTTTCAAAAGAGGAGAGGATTGTCAACTTAAAAATAGCTATTAATTGTGTTAAAATGGTATTTATCTTTATCTGTGTACGCCCCTCCTCTGAAATATATCAAAAGTGTATATCTTTATCAGACCCTCCTGCATGACCCCTTAAGAATGAATCAACAGTTTGAAAGATTTGAGCAAACATTATAACAGTGTCCTTTCTTAAAGTATTAGCCCTGCCAGGTCTTTGAGTGAGATACCATCCAGTACCTGGCAGGAGCAATACAGGATAAACTGAATTTCTACCCTGATATGATTTTGATGCTACTGTTACACACTACTACAAGTTCAACTAATGTACTCTTACAAACAAAATGATTTATTATAACACTTACTCATCTAAGAAAGACCAACTTGTAACTTCTTCTCTTCACTGGTCTTCACACAGCAGTGATGACCAGATGTCTGGAATCACATCTGTAAAAAAAAAACATTTTCAGTGTACCAAATGCATCGGCCTGTAAAACTGATTTGATCAGAGATACGTTTGATAAGATTGTACTTATTGTACATTCAGATGGAAGATCTATTAATGGTTTTTGTCGTGTACCTTGATTTTCCAGCCGGTTCTCGGCAGAATCTCCTGACTGGACCTGCTTGCTGCTGCCCAGATTGGAGAAG